TCATGAGTCATTTGAAGCTAGACCACCATGGTAAAACTGGAATCCTGGAAACTTGGATGCCGACTCAGTGGTCTAGTGTTTAAGCGCGAGACTGATAGGTCCTGGGTTCGAACATCGCGAGGGGCGGGGCCTTGAATACCCGCTGCTGAGGAATCCCGTACTAGGGCGAAGCGGCCATTTAGTGCTTCCAGGTTTTCCATGGTAGTCTAGCTTCAATTGACTCATGAACTTAACCATTGAAATTACTATAATATCCACAAAACCCCTTCTGATCAAAATAAATCAGTTATAGAAATATTAATTAACTTTTTAAACATTAATTCACATAGTAACATAAACGTTTCTCATCAAAACAATGAAAAGATGTTAAACCGTCTACATTCATATGTATTTAAGGTATCTTATTTGTTTCGATCAGATAGACTAGATGTATATCTATTAATTGTTTTCCCATAGTTTTGACTTGATTAATTCAATTAAAAAGAAAAACTTGTTAACGACTGATACAATTTTGTATCAAAGATTAGTTGGTAATAATAAAAGGGAAATAGTTGAAACAGAAATATTGATTTTATACATTAGGAATAATATGGTTATGTTTTCGATAGAAATGTCTTGACAACATCTTCTTTTGTCTATTTATCAATAGAAACACAAAGCATAAGTTGATGTTTCTACTGTTTATGGATTTATTTTAATAAAATTCAAATTTATGTCATCATTACAGATGGTTACCTAAATCTATGTTTGATTTCCGTTGTTGTTGTTGTTGAATGACAACTAATTTGTTTGATTCATTTCGAGAACCTTTAATGTTTGAAATGAAAATCATTGAGTTACAGTTTTAATATGAATATGAATACTATGATATAGGTACACTCAACTAACAAGTCTCAGGTAAGATGACATAGACATCTTGAATTCCATCGATAGTCACAATACATCTATTTTGAAAAAAAAAAACTAGCGACAAAATAGTCACATCGAAGTTATCTACACAGAATCCATATACACTAATAAAGACTTATCAAAGAACTTAGTGGCTCAGTAGTCTAATGGTTAAGTGCTCGTAAGCGAAATTGATAAGTCCTGAGTTTGAATTTCTCTGGGGGCAGGATCGTGGATGCACACTGCCGAGGAGTCCCATACTAGGGCAAAACGGCCGTCCAGTGCTTCCAGGTTTTCCATGGTAGTCTAGCTTCAATTGACTCATGATTTCAACTATTGGAACTCATTTCTGTTTGTCAATAATGAAATCATTCAAACTCTTATTACTAATGATATTCATGATAATTATTTTATTCCCTAAATTCAATGTATCGATTGACTATAATCAAATAACCAATCAAAATTGGGACATATATATATATATATCCAATCAATTAATCGAAGTATTGATTTCTTTCTCAAACATTGCATAATACTTACTAAATATTGTAATTTAAAAAGAAATACTTTATTATGAAAATCAATAATCATCAATATTCATTGACTTGTATTCAGTGCATCATTTAAGTTCATGACATGGATACTCTTTCGAAAGATTTTTTTCTCTTTCTGTTCAGTAGTTGCTAATTTTATTTTATTTATAAACAGTAAAGAGTAAAATTGATCATTGATATTAAAGTGCCTAAATGTTCTGGTTATCTTTTAAGTGAAATATAGATCTCTATTGACAAATGACTTAATTAGTCGTTATGTAACCATACTGATTTATTTGAGTACAAAAAGAAAATTAGAGAAATTATAGTTTTATATCATGTGACAAACTCAATTCCTGTATTGAAGTTAATATAGAAATGTTAAATGATATTGTAGGGTCGAAATCAGTAATCAATCATTACATATTAAAGTTCTGTAATTGTAATAGTAACATATAAACAGCAAATGCTTTAGGACAAAAATCTGTTTAGTTTTTAAGCTGACAATTATTTTACTATAGTAATATAAATAGCTTATCATACACTATCATTGGTTCATATATTCAATCCACTACATATTCTATTTATTTGAACACATTAATATTGATACAAGGAGGCACCGAATACATATGCAACTTACAAGTCACTTGATTTGTGTGTTGGCTGTAATACTGCTTGGGTGCCCAGACTGAAGCAGGTAGTTTTCTTGCGGAAATACACCCGGAGCCTTAGACCTAAAGGTATGATCCACAAAACAGTGGAGCAACGTCAGGAGATGCAGTCAAACGGTAGCCGGTGATCAACAATAAATTCATACTCCATTAGTTCCTTCAGGATCGTGGAGACCATATACACCATTGGTTAGGAATAGGGGTTTTCCAACTCCCCTAGGTGGACCCCCCGTGTCCATCAACCCAGTTAAAGCACAGGACATTCGCTTTTCGTCTACTCAAATAACACCCCCACCTCAAGAAGGCAATCAGTAGGACTTCTTTGGCAGTGGATGTGCATGTAATCACATATGATCATGAAATTAAAAACTATTGGATATAAAAGTCAGCTTGCATATTGTTTACCATGGTTACGAATTGTTTAGTAATGATATATCACAATTGATTGATCACTGGGTGGTGATCAATGTCATGCTTGTCTAGTCCTTATTAGTGCAGATCGAATGCTATCGATCATGTTGCAATGTGGCCACCAGTCTAGGTGACTCGACACTGCGGGCACTATGTATTGAGATTTAGATGGTGGTTGGATATATTCAAAATGAATACTGATTTCACTATGAAATCATATCATTTGAGAAGCCATTAAACTGGTGGATAACTGTTTTGCATATATCAGTAGTTTAAAAATCTCATATTTTCTAAGTTCGATTTTTATGTAGAGTTTGTAGTGTCGGTTATTGTGTTCAACCCATATACCTTATTCTAGCTTTCGGCCAGACAATCTATTGATTCTACTTGAGTCATATTTTGACCTTGTTAATTATTCCCTTACCAGTCTTAACTGATTTTATATGAGCGTACATATGTGTACACTTCCCATCCCATTATTCATCACATGTGTGTAACTTATTTTTGTGTGTCTACAAATATTGACTAACGCTTGAATAATGGGAGTTGGCTTACACGCCATCCCCACTGAGCGTCGTTTCGCTTCACATACAAAATATATGTATTCAAAAGTTCATTCTCGTTGTTTGACTTCTTTAATTACGTTACTGACTAACGCGATTAAAGTCGATGATTATATACGAGGATAGACGACAAATAATTTTCAATAACAATCATTCATACAATCAAACTGGAGTCAGATCCCGGGCTACCAAACTGAAGAGCCCGTCAACAAACATCGTTCGATCTAAATGACGACAAAATAAAGGGTCCCACAAGTTACCCATAAAATGCTTAAAAGTTTAAAATTGGATTGAAATAAAGGTCTTTTAAAAATTCTCCAACTGATGTTACTTATTGTCGAATGTTAGATTAAAATATTCAAGGTTCTCGTTTCTAAACTAGAAATTAAAGATGATTTATTTGCATATACATTATTCTGTAAATGGAATAATAATAATAATAATAATATTAATAATAATCGATAACTATCTGTCTAACTGGTACCACTTGAAGTACATTTCTACTTTATTTGTAAAGACCCATAAGACACTTGTTTCAAATTGTCACAGAATATTCCAGAACATTTATTATTCTATACATTTTTCCTGTCAAAGTTGAAACAAATTTCGAGAAAAGAATACATATTTTGTTGTTTTTAAACATGCTTTCTGAAGATCGTCAAAACAAGTCGAATACTTTGACATAATTTATTTAGATTAGGAAAACATTGTAATGCGTACGCACTCTTGATTAGTCAAAAAATAATCTAGGTAATTAGTAGATAAGTAACTGTCCCCGGTTTTACACCCTTTGGGTTAAGTGTTTTGTTAAGATGACTCATGATCTCAACTGCTGATTCATCTAAGTTGAGGAAGTATTTTCAAATGATTAAACATCTTGTTTTTTAGCCAAATTCAGGTAGCTACTTTTTAATTTTCTAAGTAGCTTGTTTGAAAGATAAATATTTAAAAAGAGATGAATGGTAACTTTTACAGCTATATTCATGATAGTTCTTAATTGTTACACTTGTATTTAAAATTTCAACTGGACTTCGCTCTAAATGATTGATTACTGTGTGATGTATAACGTCACACCTGTATATTCTTCAAGTCTGATCAAATTCGACTGGTTTACTTGTAATGTTGTCACCGGTTTAAGAGTTCGACATTATGTCAAGTGGATGGGGGTAAACGGTAGGGAGCCCTGGATCTAAGATTTTGATTGATAAAGTATGTCTACAAATTTCATGAAAGTGATGCTCTCTTTGGGATTTAGACTCACATCAAATAATAGACAATCAGTCAGGAATGTTACGGTGGGATGAAAATATAGAGAGCTTAGTAATATTAAATTAGAGTTACCCAATAAAAGATATTTTGGCACAGATGAAAAAAAATGTTGGAATAATTGTCCACGAGTATAAGGATCATCGATGTTCACCTTGTTTATGAAAATTCATAGTCTGAATGAAGTAAGGATTCGAATGGTATTAAAATATCCTCATTAAAATATGTTTTGCCGATTTGGATCTCCTTTTCATGGTGAACGTTGAATAAACAATACGTCTTGATATCATCTTGGTTAAATTTTAATTATTGCTTAGTCATAAGTAAAACTGTGCAAGGAAACATAGTTTAAACGCTTAAATAATAGGCGCTATATGACCTTCTCTTTATGAATCCATTTATAGATGAACTTATGACATCAGATGAAAACAATTAAATTAGTTTACTTGGTTATTTCAGTGAATATATCACACTGACGATCTAACTCTGATCCTTTTTCCAAATAGACTTTTAATAAATGTATTTCAAGGAAGTTTGAAATTTGTAAAGATATGGTTGTTCAAACCAATGTAGTATAAGTCTAAACAGCTTGATATTCAGTTATTGAATCATTATTACCGCTGGAATTATCTTACACTTGACATTTCTTTGTTTAATAATACCTTCAGCAGTTTAAGAGGATTGAACGGGTTTCTACAACTGGATCTCTCGTAATAATGTTCATGCTGTGGTGCATGCTACTTATGTTAACAGACATTAGTGGTATGTAACATAAATCAGAAGTGGAATGCCTGTCAAGAGAAGGTTGAGAAGATTTAATTGAGGAGGACAGAAGGGGAGACAGAAAGTGATTGTAATAATGACGAAATTGAAAGGAGCATGAAGCATGTAAAAGAACAACTGGTGGATGTGCGAATCAGATATTTGATATATGGTTTTCAAATATTTCACAAAATCACTCAGTAGTTTGACATTAGATAGTAAATTCAGTTAACTCCACCGTCGTGTTCGTCCACTGCAATTCCACTATTTTCAGTTCATAATAACACTCTACACAATAATTATCTCAACGACACCACTTATTCCTCACAAAATTATAAATAATTCTTAAATTAATCCTTGTGCTTCGTTTAAGTGGTAAAAAGATTTTATCACAATCCATAATACACATAGAATTTTTCTTATCTCAGACTTAGAGCGTTGCATGGTTGTCCGAAAATAAGTTATGATTCAAAACTGGCTAGTGATTCTCAAAAGTGGGCTGAACACTTGGCTTCAATAAATTGTATGCAGCATAGTAAAGCAGATGGATACGGTGAAAATTTAGCATTTCAAATGTCTACGGCCGGTGCATCACTGAATGGTAAGTTGAATACCTATGTATATCTGAATATCTTTAAGATATTTGAATTATCTTATTAGAAAAGCCTACAGATTAGAATGATGTATTTGCTTTTGTATATCTGTATTTGGTATTTTTTAGAATAATGGCATAATGATTGTTTTCTACAACAGTCCAAACACAAATATATCGTAAAATCTCCTAGACTCAACACATAACTGAATATATTTGTGGTACTGTTAAACATTTGTCAGGCATATATACTTGAGAACAGAGAAAAAAAATCCAAGGAATTATATCTGTTGAGAAAACTTGTTATTATAACAGAAAAAATTCATACAATTAGTTCCATTATTAGACTTAAATAAAACTAATTCAACAATTGGAGCACCTAGCTTGTCGTATGCCCTAATGGTGTTCTTGTGACGTTCGCGTTGCCTGACCTGCCAAGAGCGATAGGATAGTGCATGATGGTATTATTGTGTGCTAATTTCAAAGAGGATTGTATGTTATATACATGCAAATCCGCCCCGTTATTGTTCCTACTCAACAATTGAGACGGACTAAAATGAATTAATTTTTATTTAGTGATTTCACTTCAGCTGCTTACAACCGAATTTATATTGAAAAATAGCATGATATGACACAATACAGATTGCAAATTTTTAGAAAAATGAGATGACTATGGCTATCAGTATCTATATGTATCGTTATTTGAAGATGGAAATCGAAACACACACAGATGGTGGGCGGAAGACGGGTCAGTAATTATCTTGGAATTGATATTTGATAGAGGGAATTATTGTTATATCTAGAAGCTTAGATTCTTAATACACCGCGTATGACTTGAGCATTCGAACACTAGAACCCTCCCAAGTCGTAAATGAAAAAACAGAAGACGATTAAAGAAAGTATGTATTGGGCAAGGATCAAAATGTACAGAAAACCATGGGTATTTATAGATATTAGAGGTCGTTAAATTAGCATTATATTTCAAACAGTCTTCAAAGGTGCATGTTATGCTACTAACCAATAGTAGACTGCTACGATGGTATTCTAGAAAGCCCCATTACGTTCTGATTGGGTGGGACACTTTGGCTCTTCTAGAGCCTCTGGAGGCTCCGTTGTAGTTCTCGGAAGCCGTCCCAACAACTATGTTACAATCCGTGAGTTCTCATAAGTCCGCAGAGTTAAACGAATTGATGCGTAGTAAGAATCGGCTCAGCAAAGAATACAGAACAGTTGTACCCAATAATAAAGAAATAATAATATTGGTAATAATAATTAGTATGGTTGTATTTGGAATTATGAATTAATCAAGTCAGTGATAAACTGATGACTGTCTCTTTTTGAAAGTATAAATCTGACTTGGTGTCTTTTAATCATAATTGTTTCGGTAACTCATCAAGAAGATGCATTCTTTTTGTATGACGATGATTCTGAAAGACTGGAAGACGTCCCGTATTGATTAAATGCCAAGTAATTGAAATATTTAAAACCTTCACATCTTTTAATCTCAAATTTTTCGAAACATGCTCGAATATATAAATATGTACACATCCCACTGTTCATGCAATTTATGTGATTTGGTACGTAAATATCGATCAGTCTCATATAACTAACCTTAGACAGGATCTAACAAGCTTCATGTAATCCGTTATAAGACATTAAATATCTAAAATCAACTAGTATATACTGGTACACTGTTACAGATTCATTTATTTAATCACTCGTTTTCAAAATAACTATTATGATGAAGACTAGTTCTCTTATAAATAGATGGCATTATTGTATTATTACATACATAAAAACATATTTTTTAAATATTCCCCTTTGAAAGGTCGTGAAGTAACTCGAAATTGGTACGATGAAATTAAGCAACATGATTTCAATGGACAAAATCAACCTGGGACAGGTATAAGACAACCAAAAAAGAATAGTCCATTTAAAATTTGTTTTTATTTCTTAAATTCATTTATTACCTTCAATTGGTGTTATTTACTAGCCTCTTCCGATTGTTATTTAGGACTTCAATTGACCAGTCTCTTGTTGGCATACGTGCATCCTGTACGAACTGTCTCGATATTTCCGAAGTCACAAGCTTTATAACCAAATATGGATAGTGGCTAGCAGTTAAACCTAGGACGCACGTTTCGTCCTTTTTGAGACCCATCAGCTGTATGTATCTGCATCTGATAGGTGCCAAACAGGACTAAACGCGCGTCCTAGATTCCACTGTTAGCTATTATCCATCTTTGCTTTCATTTATTACTTGTTAAATTTTAGCTATTCATTTTATCAGATGAAGAGTAACAGTAATTGTGAAATTCTTCAAATATCCAATAGTGTCCAGTCAGTTTGTGATGCATCGCTTCCATTTGCCTGCCACACAATATCATAATAGTGAGATAAAGTTATCAATACAAATGTCAGAATAGTAGTAAAAATTATGTCAGTAGTATTTTAAGAAAAAAGATAAATAGTAGCTAGCAGTGAAATGCGCGTTTTGTCCCATTTGAGACCCATTGGCTGAATACGCTTTGATTCAATCCCATTATCGTTAGCTTTGTCATCACCTTGTTCACCTGTTTATGTAACTGTATTCAAATGGATTTTATCTGATTTATATTTGTTATTTGAATCTTCCCACTGATTTTTAGTACTGGAAGTGATCAATGTTTTACCATATGTACATTCTATGTGGATTGCTTTGCTATTGACTTTAATTCATAAGCATTTTTAGACATAGATGGATGGTGGTTAGTAGGAAAGGTTAGAGACAGACAGCATTATTCAAGAATCAAGAATACATTCATCGAATAAAAAACACAATATAATTTTAACAGCTAAGATTTAAGAGAAGATGAAGAATAAGAAGTTCCATGCTACTGTGACCGGATCATAGCCGTCTCTTCCATTATCTCAAACCGTTTGTTTCGTTATTCATGAAGTCTCCGACAACATGGTTTGTATCTACAATTTTATCAAATATTCACTGACGTTTGAATAATAAAATCTAAATATTATTAGGTTCACTTATGTGCAAACCCAAGTTATCTTGTTTATCTTGATTTCGTGAATAGAAGTCACAGTTTATTCACCATAACGATTGAAGCTTTTTGTTTGTAACCAGTTTAAACTACTTGATTTTTTCAAGAAAGATACTTTATTTTCTTCTAAAAACTCTTTAATTGTCAGACTACTGTCAAAGTATATATGAAGTTCTGATTAGTTATAAATATAAAAGAGAAAGACAAAATCTCAAGGAGTTTTCAGAAGTAATACAGAAGATTTTGAGGTAATAGGATCAAACTGAAAAGAAAATAATAGTTTGATGTTCGTTATAAGTTAACAGCACTGTTCATGTGAATGGAAGGTCAATTTTCACTACTTAATGATGATAAGTAGCATAAAGTGCAACACAAAAGTAATCCTCAATTGTTTGTTATGAACTTTATTCATTGTGGTTCACTCTAATATACCAAACAAAAAACATATCATGAAAATTGAGGTTTGAGAATGATGCTTCGACATGTCAAACTTACCAAAAGAACAGCAACCAAGAATACTTGAATGAAAATGAAAATACTACGGTTCACCTGAACAAAAATATTGTTTACAATTGATTAAAATGGATTTTCAATGTGCTACATAGTTTTCAACATGTAAATACTTACATGTTTAACTGAAAATGTATACACTTTTACTGGATACTCACGATTACTTATTTAGGCTTAGCGATGACAAATTAAGATATCAATGGATATAAACGTCTATTTACTACAAAGTATTTCCAGTTTCTTGGTGAAATACAATTGAAACAAAGATACACTTCTACATTAAGTTTGTGCTGATGATGTCGTTCAGAAGAACGATGAAAGCTCCACGACTAAACCATTCAGATCAGATAACAAAATTCCATCACAATCACCCATCTAACCTACAAATCTTCTAAATCATCTCAAAATCATATGAGCGTAGTACACTTCTCGTTGTTCAAAAAATGGGAGAATTTCGCCTAAAGGCAGACCTCCATTTGAGAACAATTGTATTTTCTCCACGAGTGTCTTCGTCAGCATGTTCTACCAACAAGTGCAGAGATATTTTAATGCTTTATTTAGTAACATCCCGTTCAAACTTCACCATGGTTTGGTATTCAATTAGATTTGTAGGGAATATAATAAGTAGTATATTACTAAAAATAGTTATCTCATGATTTGTATTATCTAAAAACAAAGTTTTTTTTCAAGTTGTTCAAGAAATGATGTACTTTGGAATAACTAGATAAACACAAGACTACATTAATATGTAAACAATAGAAAGGATATTAAAGGATATCAACGATTATAGATAAGTGGTTAGTTAAATAAACACTACAGACTTAAAATATTTAAGATTTTTTTTATTTACATAATAAAGTACACTAAATTGAATTTGTCACCAATTAGTTCTGATGATTTGAAATTCAGCCTTAGTTTAGTTTTATTCATTAATGTCAATGATTCATTTGACAACTGGATCTCAAACAATGTTTGAATCACATTTAAATAATTTAAGCAATCTAGTTTCAACAGTAAAGATTGTTCTAGGTTTGTACAGATTTCCGAAGCATTCACTTATTCACTTTTGAATGAACCGTACTATTATTTTGGCTAGCTTACTGACTATGATTAGCTAAAAACAATGCTGGATAGTTGTGAATGGAAATAAAATGTATATTTAGTTTATGATGACATAATATGCTTCAACAACTGGTTTCCTCTTTAGTACAAATTTCCTCTCTATTATATTATTCAAGTAGATTTTAATCGGTAAAATGTTCATATATTAACTGATTGATTTATAGATGGGATCGTTCCGGTCACATGTATGCAATGGTTAACTAGAGAGATTATAAGAACTCATAATGAGTGAATAATATTACTGTAATTAATTTATCTGCTTACAAGTTAATCCTTTTTACAGACTTATTCCGATTGAAAATTTCTTTACAAACAAGGTGAAGTTTATGCTTGGAGCTATTCAACATTGTATACCCAACATTCTATGCTTGATTCCTAAGTCTTTTAGCATTCTAGCATTTTCTTAATCAGTGGAGAGAAAAATGAAATATCTCAAAAACAACTAGTGCTGATTACTCTTCTACTGGGATTAGATAACCGTCAGTTTCGTCAATTCATTGAATAAGCTTACTCTGTAGTACAAATCATAATCTCTACAAACATCTTATACCAATAACAGTAAATGATTGATTCGATAACCTTCATTAGTATCCTTCATTAAATTTCAGTGATTATATGTAGCCTGATAGATAAACGAGTTAGAAATTAGATAATGAATAAATACAGATTGTATTGTGGTGCGTGCCACTCGTTTCCACGGATATAAGTTGTATGTAACACTAATCAAAAATGGAATGCCTGGCAGCAGAAAGTTGAGAAGATCGAATAGAAGAGAACAGGAACACAAAGTGATTGGCATGAAAATGAAGGGGAGAAAAAGTCTGAGACAAGTGATGGACATTTCGCATTTGCAGTATTGAACGTATGGTATTCACATTTTACCATAAAACTCGGTAATTGTGCATCCGAATACACACAGTTGTCACCACTTGTGTTCTCGTTCACTACAGTATGACTACAACTGTCATCAAAAAAGGGATTATAAAGTATTTTCAATGTTAAGTTATTCTTATTTTTTTTATCTGACATCAGGACATTTTACTCAAGTAATTTGGAAGTCAACTAATAAAGCAGGATTCGGTTCTGCATTCTCCAAAGATGGAAAGAAAGTGTACGTAGTGGGACGTTACAAACCAGCCGGAAATATAATTGGTTATTATGCAGATAATGTACCGAAACCAAAGAAAGCGCCTCCACCAAGTAAGCAAAAATAATGACAATAATTTATATCCATTAGTGAAATTACTTATTAATTTATAACACACGAATTGTTACAAAATATGTGTTTACTTTCCCATGATAGTGAAGAAACATCAGTAAGACCAGGGAGTTCTTTAAGCTGGAGGTGTGCTGGTGAATCGTAAACTCCTTTTCTATTTTAATCCTTATCTACACAAAGGGAAAATTTGTTAACAGTTACCGTCAAAAATTAATTGACTCCTTGATAAATTACTGATCTCTACAATGCAAAATGTCTCACCCTAATTGGATCTTATTTACTTACAACTCCATTAAACCTGGGTTTAAATTAATTCTTAGTTTACGTTGTTTAGTAAAGAGGATAGATTCCTGATCACTATGGCTTTAGTCAAGATATAAAGAACATGAGACAACTTTAAACGTGTTTCTGAACCTAATAATCACTTTTCTACACAACAGTGAAGCTGAATAAGATGTTTCTAGTTGTTGTGATAAGATCACCAAGAAAGAATTCAATAGTAGCATTTTGTCATTTACCTTGAAGAAGCTAACAGAAAACAAGTCATTTGGATTTATAAGTCGTATTTAAATCGTCGGCAATAAGAAAAACAGGCTTTTTTTAAGTTCTTAAAGTTTACGGAAATAGGAGGCATATATAATAGGATGGGGCAAACGATATATTTTTATGAGCTTAATTGAATATAATGTAATAGGTAATAGATGTCCCTTAAAGTTTCCCACAAATATCATGTCAATCGCTCCGTCATTAAATGATCTATTGCTTGATTTAGCTAGTAACATAATATTGGAATGCATAATCTATCTGGTAAGAAGGAGAACGAATTTCATGGGATCTGTTTTGTTGAATTATTAGTACTTATGATTTTAATAGCAGGACTTAATTCTCAAATCAGTGAATCATCCGTTAATTCAATAAATTCATCTTAACGTCAAAACATGTACTGACTCATCACAACTTTGAAGGATAATTTCACTTCGAAGAACTCTGTCTTGTTGAAACATGATGACATTAACATTTATATATCAATCATTTCCAGAAATGAATCACACCATCTTGTAAACTATAGAAACTCAACCTAAATTTCAACTAGCTTACCCATCAGTTAAGATCTTGACGCTTATAAAAACTTATCTAGTCTATATTAAGGTCAAGACATACCGTTTTTTCTCTATGGAAAAATTCAGAACTAAATTTAAATGGTAGACTTATCTATCACTGCTTAATTCACACAATCCTCATTAACTTAAAACATTTTGAGTATATCATATAATAAATTAAACCGATATTTTCTGTTAGACCTATAAAAGTACCTTATTGTTTGCTTATCATACTGAGTAATAATAATGTTAATTTGATTATGAGTGATTATCTTAACTGGTTGGTAGAATGGATAAATCAGAGGATAGTTCCTTAGAAGGAAGTACGAAAGGATCCAGTGGCAAATTATATGAAGTTGACTCTAATCACACCATTATGAGATAGTAAAAAGTGTCCGTATAATCTACTTTGAATAATATAGAATTCATGAGTTAATGAAAGCCAGACCACCGTCGACAACCTGGAAGCACTGGACAGCCGTTTCGTCCTGGTACGGGACTCCTCAGTAGTGTGCATCCACGATCCCACATGTGAGGCTCGAACCCGGGATCTTCGGTCGCACACGCTAACGCTTAACCCCTAGACCACTGAATAAATGATACTTTGGTAATCAAAAGTGTTTATATATTTGAATAGCAAAAACAACCCTTAAGACCAGTATAATATTACTCACAGGTTACTTCGTTAATTTCTTAAATAATTTTTTTAAAACCGTTTTAATCACTCTAAGAAATATCGTAAAAGTAATTCAAATGAGTGATCGCAGTCAATGTTTTCTTTTAAAAATCTGACCTAAGATACATCATATTTCTTTATTCCCATAATATTCTGTCCTTACATTGTTTGTCTTTAAAAAACAAAATGCTGTTAGAACTTAGTTGTTTGAGTAGGCAAATAACTCACCTTTATATGAGTTAGATAACTATGGTTTATAAAAGTTGTAAGATAAAGTGTACGTGGTTTTGAACATTTTATAATGAAACGTTATGTATAAATGATGGTTAAATAAATTCAATCACATATAGTTTTCCTCCTTAGTTCAGTAAACTTGTGTAAATTCGTTACTTGTACAGATAATACCCTGAAATAATGAAGCGATATTAAAGCACTTCCCACCCCCACAAAATGAATGTCTATACATATATCAGACATAACTGTCTTAAAGTGTGGTTGAAATTTTAGTAACCAACATGTTAGCTTTGTTGTTCACCGAGATGTTATTGTCATCATAAAAATCAATGTAATAATTGCTCTGATTAATGATTTTTAGAAGAGTTTCATAAGCGTTAATGACATTTTGTTTATTTTTACTGTTGATGAGGAAAAAACTACTGAGATTGATTAGTCGCTAAATGATATTAAAGAGATACTTCTTTTCCAAGAAGAGAAATTGATAATGTAAGATAACTTCATTCATAAGCGTATGATCAACGTTTTACACTAAGTATGCAAGTATGTTTCGAATTTTGAGTAAATGCTGATAAAAAAAATCATTTTGATGAATGTTTGGCGTTTCTAGAGTAGTGATTATGAGTTAAATATTGCTTGTTAATTTTCGTAACTTAGTGAGTGAAATTAATTGGTTTTAATTTATGAGTAGTAATGTCCGTAACAGGAATACAATGGACACGGTGGATGCAACTAGACGATTTGAACTTCTCAGATGCCCTAGCCCTTCGATCTCACACACACGAACAAATGAAGGTCAAGACAACCACTGTAGAGAAAGCCTCTACATTAGTAGGCCTCAATATACACAAAGGGAAAGATAACAACAAAAATACAACACAGAGAACGCCAAGCCAATCAAACTTGATGAAAATACTTTGGAACAGATGGACACGTTCACTTACCTGGTTAGCATCATCGATGAACGTGAAGGATCTGATGTGGATGTAAAGACAAGGATTGGAAAAGCAAGGGCCGCATTCCTACAGCTGAAGAACAAATGGAACTCAAAACAACTGTTAACTAACATGAAAGTTGGAATCTTCAGTACGAACGTCAAGACAGTACTGTATGGGGTTGAAACATGGAAAACTACTACAACCATCATCAAAAAGGTACAAGTATTTATAAACAGTTGTCTACTCAAGATACTCAATGTCTGTTGACCGGATTCAATCAGCAACAATCTACTGTGGAAGAGAACAAACCAACTTTCAGTTGAATAAGAAATGAGGAAAAGACGATGAAGGTGGATACGACATACATTACGGAAATTACCAAACTGCATCACGAAGCAAGCACTTACCTGGAATCCTGAAGGTAGAGGAAAACCAAAAAACACACTGCATCGAGAAGTGAAATCAAGCATGAAAAAGAAAGAATGACAACTGGATACAAGTGTAAAGGATTGTCCAGGACAGAGTCGGATAGAGAATGTTAGTGATCGACCTATGCTCCTCTATGAAGAGCAACAGGTGTAAACAAGCAAACATTAAACGTTCATGATACTATGTAATTGTTATTGTTAGGAAAATACAATATGATTAACTATCCATTTCGATTTTTTGTACAACAGTATTCAATTATCATAAATGGGAATTAATAGGGAGCAAATATTTATTATCCCAGTAACAAAACACAAATATATAACCTGTTATTTTAAAGGTTTACTTACTAGAAAGTAGATAATTGTGTATTTATATATTAAATTAACACTTAAAAGTGTTATTATTATTTTTTGCAGGAGATGAATTTAATAAAATACCAGAAAGTAAATGTTCAATATTGTAACTTGTATCTGGATTCGATCAGTTGTTAAGTACACGTTATTAATAAATGGATCACGATCAAAATATGACTACTCATTTAAAACAAAATAATATATATATATATATATAAGTATCAGTTGACTTTCTTTCACAATAAATGAAGATTTATAATATGATGAAATGAATACTTAATATATCTGTTTGTTTAATGAATTCCTTTATACATATTATTAAAAGTTTATTTTCTCATGATATAGATTTGTTTTGTTTTCATTTACCGTTGGGCATTATTTTGACAATATACTACTAAATGATTCAAAAAGAAATCAACTGGATCGTTTTAATAATGATAAATTACTGATGAGTCTCAAATAGAACAAAATGCACTTTCTTAATTTTGATTGAGGTCATAAACCGATTGATGTTAGACCACCATTGGAAACCTGGAAGCACTGAACGGCCGTTTCGTCCTATTGTGGGAATCCTCAGCAGTGCGCATCATAATCATGATCTCAATCAATACTTAACAATCTCTACAACCCTTATACTGATAATTACCAGGTTCTCACTAGTGACTAGCTTCGTGAGAAAATTCTCGGAGTTCTGGTGAGAAGCCGTGACCAATGGAGCTAGTTTGTGTCGAGTAGAAACAGGTGTCTACCTCAATACAATGGAAGATGGTCGGGCAATTTCGTGGATTGGTTGAGGTTAGACATTAACACCGTAGGATGCTGGTTCAGTGGTCCAGTAAGTTAAGCGTTAGTGCACGAGACTGAAGGCCCAGGGTTGGAATCCCACGATCGGGATCGTGGATGCACAATGCTGAGGAGTCCCACACTAAGACGAAACGGCCATCCAGTGCTTTCAGGTTTTCAGTGGTGGCCTAACATCAATCGGTTCATGATCTCAATCAAAACTTAACAATATCCGCAGCCCCTATACTTACTTTTTTAATTGTTGATCATATATCAATTGCATGAGAAATCATGTTTCTTTTATAAAGCTTGTGATTGTTAATACTTAAAAAATTACAAAAATGGGGATTTATGCAGACTGTAGTAATTTAAGTAGTTGAATTCATGAGTCAATCTAAGCTAGACAACCGTCGACAAGCCGAAAGCAATAAACGACCGTTTTTCATCCTAGTAGGAGATTCCTCAGAATTGCGCAACCATGATCCCTTATACGAGACTCAAACCAATGATCTTCAGTCTCACACATGAACGCTTAACCATCAAACGGTGTTAATGTGGAAATGATGAAATAAGAAAATGGACAAAATCGATTATTTTTGACTGTCTGATATTGATCATTAAGTAAAATATACAACTTGAAGTAGACTTATTTCTTAATAATTACGATAAGTATGAATCATTACTGTTCCTTATTATTTGTACTTGAACTATTGTGAAGGGATTATCCTGCGTTGCGTAAAACAATCAAGTGTATTTGTTGATTGAATTTTGAAAAACTATCATGAATGTGGTTGTGGATAGACATCTGAAATTTCGTAACCAACTGGAGTGTGTTATTTTATTAAATACAGACTATCTATTTCACTCACTTCTGTCGCTTTATATGTCGTCTGACAAAAAGTAAAATAAGTACAGTAGAAGTCGTGGATACGAAAATATTTCCAGATACTTTACAATATCGTATTTAACATAGAAACAATACTGCGGAAATATTGAATGAGTTGTTTTACTCAGAATTCTATCCTCTCGAATATCTAATTCATTAAGTGTTGTAAAGATGTTTTACTTTTATATAAATTTCATTTAGTTTTACACAATTTCATTGACATATTTTTCTTGTATATAGACAGGAAACGCTGGACCTAGGTTTCGGTCAGTTTGGCACTTGTGAGAAAGGTGTATTTGCAATCTCGAGTGACCTGATGCTCTGTGACAGATACGATGCCGTGTAACTCAGGTTCAGAGTAACACCTTACTGACGAGTGTCAAACAACATGAAAGCTATATCCATTGTTTTCTGTCTACTACCTCTAATCAACACCTTACATGTGTTGAGATAGCTTGCGTGAATGTGTTTTGTTGTTTTTTACTATAATCAAACATCAGTATAATTTAATGCATTTACTAGTCATCGCATGAACACAGGACATCAGGTTGATATCTTAAAATATTTTAAGGGGCATTAATAAATAGTCAAGTTTCAGTCTTTTGACGTTCACTGACGCCATCTCTCGTAGGCGCTCTTTCAGGTTAGATGTATATTCACAATATTCTATTTTAAAAAATTAAATTTATTTACACTGCAACTATACTATACTGATGCATGATCGTATCAATTTCCAATTAAACTCCTTCATGTAATTAATTTCAAACTATTTTGTAACTATAACTTTTAAATATTATTGGTTGTAAGCTGTTGACGAAAATCAAACAGTGCTTCGAAGTTATCAATGGTGATCTAGCTTAGATCGACTCGTGAATTCAACTTTGAAGATACTACAATCTCCACATATCCCCATACTGAATATAATCACGTGCTTGCTAGTGACTAGCTTCAAGATGGAATTGCTGGTGTTCTAGTGATAAGCTTTGATCGTTGGAGTCCAATTCGTGTCGTGTGGATACAATTATCTACCTCAGACAATAGATGAAGTAATGCGCAATATCATGATTCGATTGAATTTAAACATTAGCACCATTGGATGCTAGCTCAGTGGTCTAGAGGTTAGGTGTTTGCGAACGATTCCAGGGTTTGAGTCCCATGTTATGGATTATGGGTCAAAACAACCTTTATTTATTTATTGATTTTAACACATAGATATTGGTACAAGGAGGCACCAAATACATATGCGCCACACAGATTTCATTTGATATGTCTGATGGATGTGATACTACCCGGGTGCCCAAGCCGACGCAGGTGGTTTTCTTAGGGGACCATACCCGGAGCCTTTGAAGGTCTGATCCACAAGGCAGTGGAGAAACGTAAGGCGATGCATTCCCATGGTAGCCGGTGACCAACGATTGGTTCATACGCCATTTGTTCCTCCAGAATACTGGAGCCCATGTGCACCATTGGTTTGGAATCAGGGTTTTACAACTCCCCTTGGTGGACTCTCCATGTCCACCAACTCGGGTAAAGCACTGAACATTCGCCTTTCGTCTTCTCAATTTCCTAAACAACACCCTCGCCAGAAGAAGGCAGTGAGTAGGACTTCCCTGGCAGAGGCTATATACGCGTGACCATGTGAGAGCATTTCGAGAGGTAGAGCGAACTCTTCCCACTCTCGGCCGTACCAGGGCATTTGAAGGCGACTGAATAGTCCCATACTAAGGCTGGATAGTTATTCAATGCTTCTAGGTTTCCAATGGTAATCTTGGTTAGATCGATTCATGACTTCAACTATTATTAGAAAATTGTTGATTTTTTTTACCACCCCATGTAATTTACAATTAGTGTATGTTTAATTGCTCAAACGAATATTATTTCCGTCATATTAATCAATAATAATAATCTAATGACTTCATCAACAAAATACACATAAACATCATTAAATCATTAAAAACATAAAATAAATGAACTGAATGTTCTTACCTTTGTAATTTATACCAATGTAGTTTCTTTTAGTTAGAAAATATTATTATTGTAAGTGTAATGAGTTTTAACTAAATAACAATGATAATGTTCATTTATTTTTATTAATTCATTATTTATATTAGGATGATCAATATTAGAGTAACTTATTATGTTGTTTAGTACTCATACTTTATCAATATGAGTAGTATAACTACATTTGATTATGTTGAAGTATTGGTAAAATAAATTGAATGGTATTTTTGACTAACTTTATAATTTTCATAGTTTTAGTGATGAAGCGACCTTAACTAGTTCACTATTGGAAACTTAGAAATACTGAACGGCCGATTTGTCATGGTAAGGGACAGCTTAGGAGTGAACACTTATGACTGCAAACGGGAATCGAGCTTAGGACCTTTGATATAACACGGGGGCATTTGACCCCTATACCATTGAGCTGGCATCCAACCATAAGACCATAGGAGTTAAGTTAAATTTTCACCTGTGGGTTTGTAAATACGAATTATTGAGGAGTTCCATACAAGAACGGAATGGTTGTTCCTTGCCTTCTGGTCTTTAATGGTGGTCTAGCTAAGATCATTTCGTACTTTAAACTGAGGAAATTCTACAAACCTCACAAACCTTTTATACTAACATTTATAATTATTATAACCCATACATTTGTATACGACATAGATATCAAGAAGACAAGTAGTATATAAGTATGAAAAAGTCATGGTGAAAACAAATGTTTCGAGAATTTATTTGGTGTTGTTTGTTTGTATCTCCAAATTGTTGTTTAGGACTGCAATTGATCAGTCTCTTGTTGGCATATGTGTAGGTGGATTTGTATTTTCTTTTCATTCAATATTCAATGAACAAATAAAGATGAGAGTGAATATGAACGACTAAGTTTCTACTGATAAATCAACAATGATGTTGATATTATCAACTGTATTCCATACGGTGTATTTGGATTGTTAGGATTTGCTCATATATGCGGTGTTTCTATCGTTGTCCCTTTTATTATATACAAATAAATTATGCTGAGTAGAGATCTGTTAAAGCTAATTTATTAATTGTTTCTATTTAATACAATGTTATCGCTGATCTGTTCTTCAACATCTTGAGATCCCCTGTGAATTCAGAAACATATTTGAATAGTTGATTGTACTTTTTTCACTCCCACATCTAGTTGTTTGAATGTTTTCCTGAAACATAGTTCATTACACCCATCAAATTTACTTTTACGTGGACTATTTTGTTATTTTTTATCGTTATCATTTCCTTTAGTGTTAGTAATGCGGACTAGATGACTAGAGCAAGCATTCGAATTGTTTAAATTCCGGTCATTGAGATTATTTCTAAGTGTAATTTTTTAATCGAATAACTTCGACATATCTGATGCTCGATTCCTATCCAAACTTTCTTTCAAATTTTGACGAATGTTCACACAAAATTGTTAGAAAGTTTTTCTGAGACAGTAAATAAATCTCTATAGCAGAGTCATGCATTTTAATGAGTGCCGTAAATATTGGTCGGATGGTCAAAGGCCATAACCTTGAGACTTTTTGCGTTTATGAAACTCGCAGACGTTTATATTTTCTAGTGTGTTGCAACTGACAACTCACTATCCGGATTTTTAATAATAACGAGGAGTTGAAAATATCATTTGTGCATTCATCGTTAGTAAAACATGGGAG